ATCAGTAGTAACATTGGTACACACTTCTACAGTGCTCTATGCTTACCTCAAACTTGGGTAATTGAACCGGATGCTAAAGCATATACAATGCTCTGCAATGAACTCAATGTATCTGTATGCGCTTTCAGTTATTTTCCATTAATATGCATCTCAGCGAACTGAATGCATCCTAATGCATACAGCGCTGCACAAGCGATTTGGAGCACTCGGTTTCGAGTAAAACTAAGTTATTGTCCGCGAAGGGAATCAAACCCACCGAGTGGCAATTATCGGATAGGTGCTATACCTCTGAGCTATCGCCGAGATTGCTCAGAGTTGTAGCAGCACCGGGTGGTTGTGATAAGATCGCAATCAGCTCGTCAGCGTTCATAACACGAAATTGAAATAAAATTCTAACCGTAGTGATGCTTAATGTAGAAATAATGACTATTGAGTCATTTCGCCAAATGCGTCAGTTTTCATTCATCAATTTATTCATCACATATTCACGATCAATGATAAGAATTGAGTCATACTGATAAGAATGATAACGAATAAATGAGTGATTATGGTTATGTTACAGTAATAATTAACGAGAACGGTTACGTTATAGCGACAACTAGTGATAACAGTTAAGTTACAATAATAATTAGTGATAACGGTAATGTTATAGTGATAATTAATGGGCACTTTTTTACTTTGGNGCCTCAGATCGCTCGATGTCACAACTGGGGCTAGCAAGCGAGTGTAGGCTTAGGCTTAGGCTGAGACTACGCTTAGGCTGAGGCCATGCGTAGTAGGCGTGGCCTCGGTCCATATGAAAGCGTCGTTCATAGTGCGCGAGCGTATGTGTGCATCGTTGTACGCGAGCGTGCTCGCGTGCGATCCCCCCAAAGTAAAAAAGTGCCAATTAATAATAGCGATTATGAAGGTACTAGTGGTAAGTTACCAGTCGTATGGACTAGGTAAGTAGGTGACTAGAACACATCAAGGTTGATAATCGGCGATATTCAGTTGACATTCCGTGAGACGTTGGCAGACTTCTTCGACAACTGCACTCTGTACACACTCAATCAGACGGCACAAAGCTGCAACGAACGTCTAATGCAGCACTGGACCGGTGCGGAATCTGAGAGCATCAGTGTGTTCTTGTCGTTGGCTTGTTATTTCGCCACATATGTCAGTTTTTATTCGTCAAATTCACGTGTTCATCACATACGATATTCCCCGGGGAACCGTGGCCCCGTCGGGAACCCCGTTCCCTGTCCACTGGGATTCATCTCCTCCACCACTATACTTCCCGACCTTTTGCCGGGGTTCCTCCTCGCTCACTTTACCACCCAACTTTTTTGATAGGGTCCCTTTCCATCTATTCTGCTCCCCGACTTTTTTGTCGGG